AAGATGTAAAACCGAAATTAAACAATAATATACGGAAAAAGTGAGTACAAACGTTTTTAATAATGACGGATGCCTGATGTCATATTTTTAGGACAGAAATGCTAAATATAAAAGCAATCAATAATTACTTTATGAAAATGAATGAGGCCTTTTTATTGGATTTAACGAGTTATACGAGACAGAAGATGATGCAAAAATACTGAAACTAAATAATAATATACGAAAAAAAGTGAGTACAAACGTTTTTTAATAGTGACAGATGACAGATGCCATATTTTTAGGTTAAAAAGAATATTGAATAGGCATACGAAAACCTGTAGAGATGACAATGGTTGGATAGCTGCGATATTTTTTAGGTTGATAGCTTGAAAAAAAGAGATGGTAATAATAAATGTTTTACAGATGATTATTAAGATTGAAAATGTTAAATGTGAAGATAATCAAGTACAAACGATGATGGTATATTGTAATTGTATTTATTTTTAATAAAGATTAAGACGATGACACGACAATAACGTACTGCGCAGGTTTACATACGATAATGGACGAAGAGTATTTTGTTACCTTTTTACCATCGACAATGGACGTAGAGTATTTTTATTGTACTTGTAAGTAATAAGGAAACGACGATAATGTATGACTATAATAATAATACGACTTCTTAGACTTATTCTAAAATACTGAACTTTTGACTGCTACCTTCCCGTATTCAGAGATCCATAAAAGTAATGTCTCCTTGGTTATTACATTTATTACGGCCCCTTTGACAATGCAGCAGCGTGTATTCTTTAAAGATTTCTACGATTTTCCATTCTTTTTTCTATAAATTTCTACGGATATCAACCTTTCAACGTTTCACTCTTCATCTTCTTCTTCAGTAGTTTTTTGTTCTTAGGCGTGTTTTGCTCTCTACATGATTTCTAAGTATTATTCAATGTTTAGGTCTTTTTGGATCCTCGTATCAATAAATTTTAAGGAGATATTTGTCTCCTCTTTCCGTCTGCCTGTCCTTTTATCTGTATTTTTGTCTGTCTATCTTTCCGTTTGTCTGCCTAAGATCCTTTTGACCATTTTGCACCTGGTGACATGCCACCGAGACTTAGGTCCTTTTGTCCACGAAACGAAACGTAACGAAATGTATCGAAACGTGACGAAACGTGACGAAACGTAACGAAACGTAACGAAACGTAACCGTAACGAAACGTAACGAAACGTAACGAAACGTAACGAAATGTAACGAAACGTAACGAAACGTAACGAAACGAAACGAATACATCAACTGTTTGTTTCCCCATTCCTTTCCGACCAATAGCAACGAAGTTATACTTGACAGTTGACAAGTCCTTTTGACTCCGCCATCTTGTATATGGTTAGTTCACGTGAACGATGATCGCCATCATCGTTCAAGACATCTGATGGGATATTAACGAAGATATAAAGTGACAAGCGAGAACTGACCCTTGAACTGCGCATGTGCACATGCCATCTAGATGACATTGTCATCTACCATTTTCATCGTTCAAATCCGATCGATATTAACAAAGATATGAAAACGGCATTATGAACTGCGCATGTGCGAAATGACAACTAGATGTCATTCTCTACACGTAGCCGTTTGAATCGCTAAGGCCTTTCTGGCTTTACATAAAAATTCTCTTCTACGTTAATCATTCTCTACGTAATGCCGTTTTTCCCGCTTAAATCGGACCACGTGATATACGCTAAGGCCCTTCTGGCTTTACACATGAGTTTTCTGTTCAATGTTCATCATTCTTTACGTAATGTCGTTTTTCCTGTTTAAATCAGACCAACGATAGCTGAGATATTTGCTAAGGCCCTTGTGGCTTTTCGTTCTGCGCAAGATTTTTCTATTCGACGGTAATCTATACTACGATCTCTACGTAATTCCGTTTTTCCCGTTTAAATCGGACCAACGATAGCTGAGATATTCGCTAAGGCCCTTGTGGCTTTTCGTTCTACGCAAAAATTCTCTTCAACGTTAATCTATACCACGATCTCTACTTAATGCCGTTTTTCCCGTTTGAATTGGACCAATAGCAGTGAAGATACGTACTAAGGCCCTTGTGGCATTGCGCATGATTTTTCTGTCAAAGGAGATTAATTTTTTCATTATTTTTCCCTTACTCTGTACGTTAAGACCGACGTATCACATGTTTTATATTTTATAAGCATGAGGGGGGTCGTGGGGGTGAAGGAGGGTAGGTGTAATTTTTTGCTTATTTTTCCCTTACTCTGTACGTTAAGACCTTTCCAACGAGGTATCACACACTATGATTGATCGATTTTCAATGAGGGGGTGGTTCGCGGGGATGAAAGGGAGCAGTTGACATTTTTTCATTATTTTTCCCTTACTCTGTACGTTAAGGCCTTTCCAACGAGGTATCGCATGTACCGACCATATTTTATAAGCATGAGGGGGTTGTGGGGGTGGAGGAGGGTAGGTTGAATTTTTTGCTTATTTTTCATTGTTTACGTCAACTATTACCGCCATCTTGGATTTTCGACGTTATCATGTTTACTGATAACCCAGACTTCGAACTTCGACGCGTGACCTTGATTTAGACAAAAATTGCTAGAATGAACCTTAGCGATTTTCCATGTTAATTTACATAAGGATTGTGCCAGAACCCGTGCTGCCCCTTTACTAGAGTAATAAAAAAATTATAGCCATTATTAATTTTTTATTTTTCAAATTAATGAGTATAGGGTCGCTAGTTTATACGGCCCAGCCAAGGCGTTGTAACGTTGGCCGGGCCATATAAACTAGCAACGCTGATATTATTCTTCTCCTGCTTATGATAATGATAACTCTCTGTAGTTTTCACATGCCCTTGTGCAAAGCGTATTGGAAAACGTTCGATAGCCGACTGTAAATAAATTCTAGAACCTGTATACATATATTTTGTTCCTTCAAAGTAACTTGGCTACTTAATTATACCAAATACTTTTTTTTTAAAAGAAAAACCATTATTAATGGCTTAATATCCATTAATTTTTTTTTTCTAATAATTTATAAGATAGTCATTTTGGATTGGTCACTATGTAGGATCTCCCGTTTAGTTTTTGGATTACACTGTAAATTCGTACATGGTATAAAATATAAACCATCATCAGATTCATCAGTAATAAAACATTTAGTTAATTTATATCCCCGGACAAGTTCAGCTTTTGGGGTTAAAATTCACTCGTAAGGCGGTGAATTAGGGAGAGTATTATTATTATATAATGAAATATGATTTGTTTTAAACGAGAATATTACGAAAAGTAAATAAAAAATTCTTACTTTTTATGCTATAGTAAGCAAAATTAAAGGTCGCTTCTTGCCGACCAGTTCTAATAAGGACAAAACTGGTTAAATAATGACGTTCTCCTTAGTAAACAAAATCAAATAGTGTTGAAATTTTTTCTACTATCTTTCCTTTTATATAATTCAATACTTAGCGGTATTAGCCAGAGGAGTAGTTGTTTTCCGAAACGGTGGCTCTAATTTTGTGACATATAGCCGTTTCTTTCAATTTCTAGTACTGTAGAGAATAATATAGGGTTGCCACAATGTAGTGATCTGGGTCCGTTACTGTTTCTAATTTTTATTAATGACATTAATGTCTGCAATTGCAGGTGCAGTCGAAAGATGCTCAATACACTCATTTGCGAATGATACCCCGATATATTTTACCCATGAAAACACTGAAACTTGTTTTTTAAAGAAATTAATAGTTCTATAAGTAAAATGATTATTGTAACGGAAACTCATTGAAAATAAATTACGAAAAGACAAAACGGATGTTAATTAGAGGTACTGGAAATTTAAAAAAAGTAAATGTAGCATCGCAATGTTTCTGTTGATGGGGTAAAGATTCAGAAAGTCGAAAAAATTAAATATCTAGGAGTCTATACAAATTCACAATTTAAGATGCTAATAACGTCATCAAAAGCATATCATTAAAAATCAACTATTTGAGACGCTGTTCTCATCTCAGCAAATGGGCTAAAATAGTAATTTATAATACTCTTATATTACTTCATTTTATTGTGCGACTATATTATTTTTGCTCAATCAGAATGAGTTACAACGATTGCAAAATAGAGGTATGAGGATAACACTAAGCTGTTCAAGATTGGAACCAATCAATTCCATGTTAAATGTGCTTTAATGGTTGCCTGTTAAATTCACGAAATAAGCAAAATTTTAGTTTAAAAGGCCACATAAAAATGTACCCAAAACTAACGTAATAATTTGCCTGAAGATTATTAAATGCTCTCCAAACGCAGCAGTAATTAAAAAAAAATGCGCGAGTATTTGCTGACCATTTGATGTTTTTTTCTTGTTTGTAAAGTTGACATTAGTTATCATTTTACATATATATCGACTTTATACTTGTGTATTTTTATTTTATATGTATGTCGACTATATTTATGTATTTTTTATTTTATATGTAAAGATATGTATTGCCGTGGTTTTTTTTGAATAAATAAACGATTTATATATAATTCACAACACTAATTAAAAAAATCTGGTTAACAGTTTGTTTTTGCCAATCGTTTGTCATTTTTGACCGTTCTGACAGGACGTTTCATTGCTTAATAGAAAGATTTCATATCATACGCGCTTGTTTTGATTGCCTTTTAATCACCTTTTGTCTACAGAACGATCAGTCTGCTTTTTTTTTCTAGCATACTTCATAATAATATGGAGTTCTTCCATTTATGAAATTGTATAAAGTATTCATTTTCTACTTTTAATATTTAAAATAATTTTAAATACAAATGTCTTACCTGCATTTTCGGTTTGGCGACGTTCCAGTTTATAGAAATCCAATATTTGTTAAATATTTTGGAGAGAAAAACACTGAATTTCAACATACATTCTTTTTATTTCATATCTGCATACACATGTTTAACAAGAAAACTCAAAATATAATTTTCATATTTTATTGCAGTACTTTAAAATCTAAGCAATTATTTTCATTGAAGTTACGAAATATACATAGTGGCAATAAATACAATCTATTTGATACAAAATTTTGTACAAGCAAAAAAATTATTATGAGAAACATTAAATTTAAAAAAATATATATAAATTGGGATGAGAAACAAGTATATTTCATATAGTTCAATAATTTAAATTCCATGTTAGTAACGACAAAAAGTATAAAAAACGAAGGAAGTTCACAGTTGTAACATAAATAAAATAAAAATTATTACTGAATTGTAGAAATACGGTTGAGGTGAGAAAAAACTAAAGATAGTATATAGTACATACATTTTTTTGAAAAGATGATCAACCGAATTCATTAAAATAATATTTATAATTCAAAATAAAAGACTAGGTTATTCAAAATTTGGCGAAACATTCATATTTCAAATTTTGCAGGGCACTGATAAAGTACAGAGCAAAATATCCAAAACCCTTGTGTTAAAAAAATATCACAAAATTACAGAAAAAGTTCTCAAACAATAATTATTAAAATCACCACCAGTCAGACATTTTTATCATATCAGAATAATTTCATTAATTTATTTATGAAATAAAAAAATAAAAATTCTATGCATGTCAGTAAAAACTGTCTTACTTGTCTAATATTAAAAGATAAATAGAAATTAAAATTCCACATAATCTGCAATCAATGTTAGTACCTTGCAATAATGAATACGTTAAATATTATATACACAGTGTTTCAGAATTACAATTTTACTTTTTAAATGACTATGCAGCACAGTTTAATCTACTGAGTAAAATCCTGGCAATTTGAGAAGCCAAATGCAAAACATTTGTCAAAGTTTAACAGAAACATCAAACTTAAAGGTCGTTTCTGAAACTCAATATTAAATTTGTGCTAAAAGGTGAATTTGTTTAAAAGACCCCCCTTCTTGTATATGTTAGCCATCACAGCTGAAAAGTAAAAATATTATTCTGAAACACCCTGTAGAAAATTAAATCGATGATTATTTGTATGTAAGTTTTTCAAGACAGTCTACTTCTGTACATTCAGAGGTCGAAAAAAATGGTCCGACAATTAGTTACGAACTTCTTGATTATAAAATAAGCGAACCGTGGTTGAGCGCCGTTTCTATTTTGGTATGCCTTTTGGAAAAATTAATTGGCTCTTAAGATTAAAAACAACCGCTAACGCTAAAATTTAGTTAATAACAATTCCGACGATATAATTGTAAATGGATAATTAAAATTTTGCCTAATAGATTGTAACGCAGCATCTCTATATCGATTTTAAATTTGTTATGAGAGGTCAAGAAAATGACTAGAAATCAGTTCCACATAATTTTTTTTTGATTTAATGATAACTGGTTTCGCCTTTAGGTCATCATCAGAATCTTAGCCTAACCAACCCAAACCTTTCTTAATAGCTTTTCAATTTTTTTTTTACCTAAATTTATTGTAAAATTATAATTTCCCACATCTACCACATTTAGAACCACCTTGCCCTTGTTGGTGCTTGGTTTTAATCATACACGTGTATTTTTAACTTTTTTATGGAGACCAGTGTCATTAATTTAATAAAATTTATTTATGTGGGACTAATTTTGAGTCATTAGAGCAGCTGGATACTCTTCTGTTTGTTATGTAAGTATTGATTCGCAAACGAGGGTCACATAACTAAATAAACATTAAAACATAATTATTAAAATATTTTCCCATTAAACTTATTTAGTTTCTTCTCCTTATGCATGTTTACAAACTATTGAAATTTGCTCTTAACTAAAATTAATTTACTCATCGATTTTACGCGTACAGAACCGAGATATAGTCACAGCTCTTTGTAATGTTCAAACAAAAAAAAAATTAAAAATTGGGTATAATCACGAAAATTTCAAGTCGCATTGCGCCAAACTTTATCAGCACACGGTAAATTAGCACAATGATAAATACTATATTAATAAAATGAAACACTATTTCGTCAGAAATCGTGAATAACCCGACTACAAAATATCAACATGTGAATACACCCTAAAGAAAAAACGAGACAGATTTTCATTTTTGTCAATTAAATAAATATTTACAAGTGTTATACATAGCTGATAAATTGCCGTTTTGAGTTATTTGAAGAAAATCTGAATAAGCAATAGCGCGTTCACACCCTAGTTAGTAAAGTGACAAGGACGTACGCACAGGTACAAATCCGGCCATTCCGCTGCTGGTGGTGATGAGATATAGTTGTCACTAGGTGTCATCTGTCAGTCTCAGTTGTAGATTTTTATGGCCTTCTCCAGGTAATTGAACCGCGACCGCTTCGGTGTTTTATTCACATGGTCTAGCCCTAACCAAGGTCTAGGAGGGGTACCAGCTTGAAATGGAAACAAATTAAATGTCATTTAATTTCCTTATACAGGGTGTGAGTATATTCGACCAACAACAATTTAACACAGAGAGTTCTTGTTAATTCATAAATAGTAAAGGGGTACCTTAGGGGTGGTCCCCTATAAATTTGGTCAAAATCTAATAATTGGGTCTATGAGAAAATCCTCAAATTCTTCATTTTTTATGTAAGTTTAGCGATAATTCTTAACTACCTTGTCCGATTTCTATGATTCTTTTTTTGTTAGTAAGGGGGTACCTCAGGAGTGGTTCCATTAACATTTGGTTAAAATCTAATGATGGGGTCTATGAGAAAATCATCAAACTCTTAATTTTTAATCTATTTTCAGCGATAATTCTTTATCACATTGTCCGATTTCTATGTTTCTTTTTTTGTTAGAAAGGGGATACCTCAGAGGTAGTTCCACATACAATTGGTCAGGATCTGATGAACTATGAGAAAATAAAAAATCTCAATTTTTTAGGGCACCTGCACGATTTTGAAGTCGGTTTTTTAATTAAAAAATTATTGTTTAATTCATACTAAAATGTATCATTTGTGTAACTTGATGCAACTTGGATATTATATCAGAATGGATATTGGCTTCATCAAATGGGTACATGAATAGGAATCAAAGATTAATCCAAAAATCAAGATAAAGTGGAAAGGTTTTACTATTATACATGCTACTGGACTCAAAAAACAAGGACATAAACTATCAAAAGGTTATAACTAAGGACATTTTTAAAAAACTGATGATTTGCCAGCTAATTCCTAATAAATGTTTGGTAGTTACACTTTATATCCGAAATTGGGGAAAAATTAATTATTTAAGGATAACGTCATATTTAAATTATATCATTGAGGTGATTTTTGAAGCCAATCCAATGACATTTATGTTAATAATGGACGGATTATAAATGTTCCCAGTTTCAATCTTTTTGATACAAAACAACTTGGCAACGCTGCTTCAAATAATAAAACGGCACGCCAGAGCACATAATCTCAAAAAAATATTATTTAATATTTAAATTATATGAATACCTTTAGTTGTTGAGAAAAATTGCATTTTAAGTTTCACTTATTTTTTAATGGCTAGTGGTACAAATGACCCTTAATTCCCTTAAATTAAGAACAAATTAAATTTTTAGAAAGTAAATATTCTTCATTATATCAATTTTATATGTATTTTTGGTTAATTCAATTCAGTAAAGCTTTTTATTGCTTTCTGCTGTTGGCGAAATATAGTTACAAAATAAAGATGAATGATAAAAAAAATTAAAGAAACTTACCTTGATTAGGAACAGATTTAAAATCAGATAAATTCACTACATATTCATCCTCTTGGATCATTTGTGGTCTACCCAGCGCCACAATAGCAAATTTATATTTCTCCCACTCTTTTTCAGGCACGGCTAATCGTTTCTGTATTCGTTCTGAAATAAAAAACAAATTAGAACTCAAACAAATAAAGCGAAATAAACAGAGATAAAATGTTCAAATAAAAAGTTTTAAACTTAATCTTTTAAGGATCTGTAGGTACAACAGGAATGAATCAGTGGCGGAACTACACTATAGCAGATACAGTAGTGAGGGAGGATGAAGCTGAAAGGGTTTTTTTTAAGCAAAATAAATACATTTCTATAAAAACATTATGTTTTTGAATCATGGGTACGGGAATAAGGGACCCAAATGTTTTCAGAGGACCGATGATTTGAATTTTCATCACTGGTAGGAATTGTTTTTTAAAGACCTCCAAGATAACATTTATCTCCCATAGAACCACAAGAAATAAATAGTTATATACCCAATAAAATATAAAGTACCGTAACATTCGTAATATAGAGACCTAAACTATTTGACAGATGCGGTAATGTGACGTCATACAAACCAGATCATCTATGGTTTGTTTATTCCTGAGATCATCTCATCAATTTGCGGTCTTTGTTTAATAAAATCAAATTAAAAACTCCGATGTGTGCTTTAAGACTTGTAAAGTGTTTGTTAAACGATTTAAGCAGTTTTTAGACCTTTTTTGTGTATAAATTTACAATGAAAACAAATCAGACAGGGGCCTATTATAAAAAAAATTGGTTAAAATTAACTCTGGGTTATAAAAATAACTGGATGTTATTTTTAATTTTGTATTCTGTATTATTTGGTTATAAATTACAACTTATGTCAGTAATAAATCTAGTAATTATTATATGTCAAATATATTCTTTTTATTATATTGTATTGGGAGTGAGTTCAATTCACTTTTAGTCATTGCCATTTTTTGCAGTGTTCTCACCACCTAGAATGGATATGATATATATTCGTTCAGTTGAAGGCAATAGCATACTTTTTCCTTTTTTAATCTGTGCGTAGATAAGCTAATATCCATGTGGGTGTAGAAAAATATATTTTTATAATAAAAATGGTATAAATAAAACGAAAATGTACCTTTAACTTTGATGAAAGGTTCGCCTTGCTTGATTTTTACTAGGAAGGGTATGCCGAATGTGGAGAACACTTCCTTGTGAAAATGAGCGCAAGAGACTAGCGTCTCGTCGTCGCCGAGATGTATTTCATCTTGAGGTACTTCTTCGATCCTATATACTTTTGTTGTCGTTATACTTAGCTGCTCTAGAGGCGTATCTTCCTTTGGCCCCATCGATATCCTACTACTACTTATTTCTGTTAACCTGCAAGAAAATTTAGTAAATAACATACACAAACAACAAAATTTTTTGACATACCTAAGTTTTCCAGTACTTCCCTCTCCAAATTCGATTTGTTTTTTCGCTTCATCCAATAGATCCGCCACCGTTCCTCCTTTATTTGGATACAATATGAGCTCTTTCTCTTCTTTCATTTTCGGCCCGACGTATACACATTTGAATTGCTTTTTATTTTCTAATTCATTTACACGAATACTAAGTTGTTGATAGAATATTTTCTTGGGTACTTTTGGCTTCGAAAATACTAACAAGTCTTTGAGAGTGCCCTCGAACGTACACCTCAAAGGGTGGCCGGGGCTATCTTTATAACTGAAACAATACATTCCGTTTTTAATGCGGAATTCTTCAGGTTTTAAATATATGTGTATAAATGCTTGTGTGATTATTATCAGATTTGTTTAGTATACATAATCATCTATTTAAGGTATTGTGTTGTTGTCTGATTCCTATGGTGTTCATAGATAAATATTACAATAATTTATTATAAAGTTTTCTAATACAAAAACAAAACAAAATATTAGCGATGTTTCTGCAATAATTTTTGAAATATAGCTTGAATTTTATATAATATATGTATTTAACAAAATATATGCATTTTGTATTTAATATATAATAACGTACCTTTGACATTTGAAAAATTGCAACAAGTAAGGATCCGTTCCGACCCTTTGCGCTACCGCCCTGGCGAATTGGTCGTAGGTCATTCTTTGTGACAGTTCCATTGTGAAACCCTGATCGTTTGGTATACATTTGTCTACGAATGTCACTTCAACGCGACAAAATAAATCTTTGAAATAGTCGACGCAAGTTGGAAGATCCGAAAGTTCCTCTCTCTCTTCCTTCTCGAATACTATTATATCACCGTCCATTAATTCTTCTAATACCTAAAAATTAATATTTTTTTTACAATTACAATAAAGAATATTTTTTGTTATAGATAGATCTCAGAAAATCGTGGAAAATGATATAAAGAATGTGGAATTTAATATAATAATAAAAAATATTGATTGGCCTCCTATTAACTATTTAAAAACAAACTATACAATGTAAACAAGGCATACAAAAAATCAAAAGTCAGTTAAAAACTGTTCTTCCTGAAGCCTACATGGAAGTAAAAACTTGAAAGTTAAAAACGAAAGAATAAAAATATATAACAAAACCATTTTTTTTTAATTTATCAAGTATATAAAAAAAAGCACTGTTCGTCAAATATTAGCATAGTTATATAATTTTTATGAGCTAATAAGGACATTTTTTAAAGTTATCTATATATTATTATTTTTTTTTACATGCTTACCTTTTCCAGAGGATCATTAAAATTGGTAATTTTCTCTATCATATTAGGTCGAATTTCCTCGTATAAAAGCAATTCAGTGTCCGGCGTGAATCCCGCTCTCTCGTTCAAAAGAGGAATTATGTCTACCAATTTACTAGTAACGGGTAAATAACTGTGACCGCAATAATGGATTTTCTTCTGTTTGGGATCGTACATTTTGAAAAACAACAGCACGTCCGTTTCTTTATCGAACGTCGGTAGCGTCGATTGTCCCGAATCGGGTGGTAACAGTTCCAAAAATACGTTCCAAGGGTTCATATTTTCCGCGGCGTCTAGAACCGCTTTGTGAAGATCTGTCTCAAGATCCAACACGCTTGGCCGTATCGTTTGATTTGACCTGAACAAAATAAATATAATATTTTTTTTGCCAAGAGCACAAAAATAAATTTTTTGTGTAATTTTGTCAATAATGTCACTATTATCAAATTAAAAAAGTAATGATTTATAAAAACTTGGCCAGGAGAGTATTTTTCCTTTATTTGAATTTGAAACCTGTGTTGATTACAATTATTTAGTAAAGTAGGAAATATTGACAATATTAATTGATAGATATTTACGTTCATTCAAGTCTCAGAGGATATTGGTTTACTGGGATTATTATATTTTGTATTGCATTTCTTTTAGTAAATGTTTAATTATTCATATTGTTTTTTAATTCATAGCGGATTTCGAGAAATAAATTATAAATAATGAATGTTCTCTACAGTTAATTTGAACAAGGAATAGTAATGAAAAAGAAAAGAGAAATGAAATGTCCCTCAATAATAAGTGTACACTTAGGTATATCATTTATAGAATTAAATAATTGTTGTTCAATGTCCTTTTTAGGAGAGGATTTCTGCACTCATCTGTTTTTTAATCAAAATAAGATTTTTATACATAGAGAAATTTTGCCAGGATGCCTATTAAAATATGACCGCAAGTACCTTAATAGTTTCCTGTAATAATACTTCAATGTACATTTGCATCCCGTACAATATAAATTGAACCATTTTAATTACTTCTTTCCATTTTAGTCCAGGTATTTGTTGGTTTGTTGTGATGAACGTTATTTTCTTCTCCTTGTTTGTTTCACAGCTTATTTTTAGTTGTTTTAATCCTTGCCACAGTATTTCGTAAGATGTTTCTGTTTCTGGCGATGTTCTGACGATCACGAGATATATTCTTCGATCGGCGGTGTTCAATTCTGTTATATTCTGCACTGTTTCATTTCAAGTGTTTGATGGACCATATATATTATTTAACGTTTTCATTGTTTCTTCCTGGGTTTTTCTTTCTTTGGTTGTAAATATTGTAATTGTTTCTCCTTCTGGCAGATCCAAAAGTTCTCCTGTTTTATATTTTACTTTCTTTTCCTGGAAGATCATTATTTTCTTTATACTCAAGAAAATCGTAATATGAGGGTTTCTCGTAATTTGTTGCTGAATCATACATTCTGCTTAGAGCGTCTGCATTTCCATGCTTTCTTCCTGCTCTATGTATAACTTCAGTCATACTCTGCCAATGTTAGTGCCCAACGTGTTAATAGTGAATTAGGATCTTTTAATGTCAATACCCATTTTAGTGCTCTATGATGATTGTGAAGCGTTTTCCGTATACATAACATCTGAACGTTTTAATCCCAAAGATGACTCCTAACAGTTCTTTTTCTATTGTTCAGTAGTTTTGTTCAGCCCTATTTAATTTTCTGCTTGCGTATGCTATGGGTCTGTATTTGTTATTTATAATTATAAAAGAAAATTCTTTCAACAAAAGTTTTTTGTGATGTTATTCTCTACAATTTTGGTCAAATACATAATTTATGTAAAATGGGCTGTAATAGAAAAATTTGAGGAAAAATGCGAAATTTTATTTTTTCAGTATTTTCGTTGGAAATGAAGTTATGAAATGTTTTGAATAATGTTTATCTGTAATTCATATTCTGAACACTTTTTGATAAAAGGGGAGTACTCAATATTTTGATCTTTACAGGAATATTTGCACTTTTCCTCAAATTTCTCCACTACGGACCATTTAAGAGAAATCATGTGTATGACCAAAATTATAGAGAATAACATCATAAGCAACTTTTGTTAAAATAATTTTCTTCTATAATCATAAATAACAGAAATATACCTTGAAGTAGAAAAAATTAACTACTCACAGCCACATTTTGATAAGCAATCAAGCAAAATCGTATTTCTTTATTAATAATAATCTATAAAAATTGCACTATTATTAAAAAACAGCTGAGTGCAGAAATCATAGGGCCGGATCTTAATACTATAACAACCTTATGTAGTGGCCACATATCAGAGTAGATATAACAATTAGGCTATTTTCTTTTTTTTATCAAATGCCATACACTGTCAAATGCTTTGGATAAATCATTATAAAATACATCAACTCCTGGTAACCATCCTTTAACATTAAATGTTTGTATTATTAGCCCAATCGGATTAGTATTTTAGATTCTGAAAAATTCGAAGCAGCAATTTTCCTTCGGAATTCGTTGGAGGGGGTCTCTGGTAGTCTAAATTCAAAAAGTTGGGATTCCAAAGTTGTCGTTACCTCCGCCATCTTGATTTAAAGGGTTATTTTTTGTATCTTGAATAACTCATTTATTTTCAATTTTACACGGAAAATAGTTTTTACAAAAGTTATTTAAAATTAAATTTCCTACAATTCTGCTTTTTTTGTACGATCGATTTTTTTTGATTTATACCCGAAAAGAGGGGGTGAATTTTTGGTTATAGAATAACTCGTTTATTTTCAATTTTACGAGAAAAATTGTTATAAACAAAGTTGTTTAAAATTAAATTTCCTACAATTCTGTTTTTTTTTGTACGATCGATTTTTTTGTATTTATCCCTGAGAAGAGTGGGGGTGAACCTAAGTATTGTATTGTCACGTTTATTATTGATGTTGTACCATTATTTTTTCTGTTTGTTTTTTTTTGCTGATTTTCAAAAATGTTAGTTGGTACAATTATGATTCCGATTTTTTCTAAGAGTTTACCCCCACTCTTCTCAGGGATAAATACAAAAAAAAACGAGCGTACAAAAAAAAACAGAATTGTAGGAAATTTAATTTTAAACAACTTTGTTTATAACAATTTTTCTCGTAAAATTGAAAATAAACGAGTTATTCTATAACCTAAAATTCACCCCCTCTTTTCGGGTATAAATCGAAAAAAATCGATCGTACAAAAAAAAGCAGAATTGTAGGAAATTTAATTTTAAACAACTTTGTTTATAACAATTTTTCTTGTAAAATTGAAAATAAACGAGTTATTCTATAACCAAAAATTCACCCCCTCTTTTCGGGTATAAATCGAAAAAAATCGATCGTACAAAAAAAAGCAGAATTGTAGGAAATTTAATTTTAAACAACTTTGTTTATAACAATTTTTCTCGTAAAATTGAAAATAAACGAGTTATTCTATAACCTAAAATTCACCCCCTCTTTTCGGGTATAAATCGAAAAAAATCGATCGTACAAAAAAAAGCAGAATTGTAGGAAATTTAATTTTAAACAACTTTGTTTATAACAATTTTTCTCGTAAAATTGAAAATAAACGAGTTATTCTATAACCAAAAATTCACCCCCTCTTTTCGGGTATAAATCGAAAAAAATCGATCGTACAAAAAAAAAGCAGAATTGTAGGAAATTTAATTTTAAACAACTTTGTTTATAACAATTTTTCTCGTAAAATTGAAAATAAACGAGTTATTCTATAACCAAAAATTCATCCCCTCTTTTCGGGTATAAATCGAAAAAAATCGATCGTACAAAAAAAAAACAGAATTGTAGGAAATTTAATTTTAAATAACTTTTGTAAAAACTATTTTTCGTGTAAAATTGAAAATAAATGAGTTATTCAAGATACAAAAAATAACCCTTTAAATCAAGATGGCGGAGGTAACGACAACTTTGGAATCCCAACTTTTTGAATTTAGACTACCAGAGACCCCCTCCAACGAATTCCGAAGGAAAATTGCTGCTTCGAATTTTTCAGAATCTCAAGCCTGTTCTTCACCTAATCCGATTGGGCTATATGTAAAATTCGTAGATTAGCTGTAGAGCACAATGAAATTATTTTTTTTACTAGATTAGTGCGAATTTATTTATAAATTATTATTCCGATCTTTTTGATAATATTCGGGTACACAGGGTGATGCTTGTAAGTAAAATAAAAATGCACTTTTCGTCTTCATAATTATTTTTCTTTAAAAATTTCCTATACTTATTACATTACCATGTTGGCAATTGGACGGAGTGTCAGAATATGGAATACAAAATGAGGATTGGTTAAAAAAAAATACAGATGAAGCGCGGAATATAAAAAAAATTGACCTGTTTCTGAAATTTTACAACAAATCAATATTTTCCCTTTATTATTGAATTTATTCCTTACTTTTTACTCGCACTATAGTATATTAAGTATGAAAATAATTCATTATTTCGTAAACAAAAACACTTAAAAATTTTTTTAATTTAAATTTTCTGCATTGTACAAAAAAAATCATCATCCACATTAATGTATTGACGTCAGCGATAATTTTTTTTAAATAGGAGACTATATTATATAATTCAATTTTTGCAATCGCCATGGAAAGCTGAATTCAAAAATATATTATCTCACATAAGGTTTGCATACAGTGCGTCCGTAAAATAATATAATAGTAGTAAAATTCTCGCTGACTTCACTCACATGTACCGTGTGTTCCATTAAGAGAGGGAGACTGCTATATTTGTACAACTTTGGAAAAAACATAACTTCAATAAAAACGACCGAAACAAATTGCTGGAAATTATTTTTTGTTTGTAGGGTGGCCGCTAGGGGGCGTAATTGTGACGTCAAAACATAAAAATGTACTTTTTAAAAAAAATACAAAGTATATTTATAAATATTACTATTTTAACCTTTAATATTTTCTAAACAAAAATTCATCAGGTGTAATTTTTGTTGTCAGTTGTGACAAAGAGTGGTGGGGGAAGGTTAAACTTTAATTTTGAAAAATGCTCATAAGGCCGGTTTGGCTTTACCGAATTTAGTGGACTTGGTTTCGTTTAGAAACGCTTTTTCAGCCTCATATTTAGCTGTATAAACTGTGGCTGCTTACGTTTTACAAACGCCGCTAGAGGGCGTTAAGTTAAAAACTGACATATTTTACAAAAATGTTCGAAAAATTTATATACAAACTTTCTTGTTCAGAAAACATTGAAGATGAAAATAGTTATATTTATTAATATACTTTACTTGTTTTTTTTTTGAGAAAATTAAATTTATATGTTTTAACGTCACAATTACGCCCCCTAGCGGCTATCCTACAAACCTGAAAACAATTTCCAGCAATTTCTCTTGATCGTTTCTGAATGAAACACCCGGTACATAAAACTTTTTGTACAAAATGTGGCAAATTGAAACTAAAAATCGATTTGTTTCGGAATTTACCTAAAAAAATAGATATTTTGGCTAAAAATTAATTTAAGCCATATTTTTCGGACACACTGTATACTTTGTATGCTTTTATAACAATTATTGCAGCATTACTTTTACCTTTGACTAAACGGCCATGGCCTGATTTGTTCCGGTGGATATTTGAAAGCATCAGCCAACATTTCCATCATCTCGGCAACGGTAGCCATTTTTTTTATTTTGAACACCCTAAATAGGGCTCGCTCCGGATCGTATAAGTCGTTGCCTTGGTGCCCGTCAAAAGCGTCTTCTAATAGAACGTTTATTGTCATGTAGAGGTGGGCTTCGTTACGTTCCTTGCGACGCACCTGCTCCATACGCTTTTCCTCCGCCAAACGGTCAGCCAGTTCCGTAGGGATATCTGCGTCTGTAACCTATAAATATATCCACAATTACGATTTGTGGAACCTAACGGAGAGAGCAAACAAAATTAGAATAAATAGATTAAACTGTTAGCCAGTTCTATAGGGATATATGCTTCTGTAACCTAGAAATATATCCATAATACGATTTGTGAAAGGAAAACACGCGGGTCATAGGTCAAATATTAATAAATTTGGCACCGCGGCCTTTGCTATTCCTGTCAAACTATATAATGTATACATGACTCACCTCTTGCAGTACTTTATGCATTTCTGAATCCCTAATATACACCAACATATAAGCATTAGTACAGTGCTTTACTGTCATGTTCATGTCTTCATCATGTCCCCCATAATTGTGTTCCAAAGCCTCTTGCTTTGTACATCTTGACACCACATCATCATCAAATTTACACCATTTACCGTCACCTAATAAAACATTAATTCTCAAAAAAATTGTTATTAAAACATACTTAATGATCTAAATTTGTACTAAAGAGTAATTCTTACCTTTAGGATTAATAAAAACAACATAATGCCCTCCATGATTATCTCCACTATGTACAAGAACGGCATGCAAAGTGTAATTAGCGGGATTGCTGGGATCCCTATCCTGAAGATAGGCATCTAGAGAGATCTTTTCGTAAAATTCAAACCTATCGTTGAATTTGACGGAACTGTCAGTTATTGGGTCGTATTGAAACCTCATCAAGTGTAAATGCAAGACAGGTGGAAACTCTTTGAAAATAACCCCCTTTTCTGCATCTTGCAAACCGTGTTCGCCGGCATCGTATTTATTATCACCGTCTAAAGTTTCTTTGGCAATGTAATCTTTGAAAGATTCATCGACTGCGAAAAATATTAAATTTAGTGAAAACACCTTCAATTATTTACAGCAATACTTACTATTCTTCTTTCCTTTAATGTTCAACTGTATATCATAAAATGTCTCTGATCTTGTACTGGAGTAATCAACATTTTTACATCTTATATAAGAAATCATTTTGCCTTCAAACAATTTAGGTACAGTTCCCTCTACACAAGTACCTTTCATTTTGCTTTCTAACTTATCTAATAGCACCTATAAGAATACAAAATTGTTAGGAACGTTTATCATTAGAAATAAATTGGTTTTTTTACCCTTAAAAATTCTTGGACGTCATGTTGCATAAAAGAATCCAACGTCTCCCAACCAAAACTTTTGGTCAGCTTTTTAGTTCCAACGGGTTTGTCACAAAATTGTAACTCATGAAAGACCCTTTGCAGAGCCAGAGCAACTGACTTAGTTGAGTCATCGGACTCAGTAGGCATCTTATATACCGCTTTCCTCAACTGATTAGTAAAATATAACGTTTGCAACAAGGAGTTCATGTAACAAGTTGCTCCTTGGTTTTTTAATCCAACATAACCTAAAATGAATAAAATGGTATAATAATTTTTAAATAAAACATAGTGTAAGTACCTGTATGTTTTTTGCTGTCCCATGATACTCCATGAGGAGCATCAGCTACAACTTGAACTTCCAAAGTTATGGCATCATCTTTGATGTAGCCTTTTTCAGGATCTAGCACATCATTCCAAGCCATAAAATGAGAGAAACCCCAATCATTTTCCTAAAAGCAAGTTTAATATATTTTATTGGTCCATAAATAAAATTTCAATTATAAAAATACTAACTTTAGAATAGAACAAATGTTGGATCTTTCTGCTGAAATTTTCAAGATCTGGTCGAACAGAAAGCATCCTCAATTCTGCAACGGCATAACAAGACCATGAGCTTGACTCGCTTTCGCCATTACATTGCAAGAAGAAACCCAATGATCTTTGCGACGGTCTGTCAGATCTTGCATCTTGAGCATGGCTGTTGCGGGGCATTACCATGATTTTCCATGGCAAGTTTCTCACAAAGCATGGGGGAGACAATACAGAGTCCTGGTAAAGAAAAGAAAATAAAAAAGTTGTAAGGGTTGGAAAATAAATACAATTTCCCAAAAATGTATCATAAAGATGGTCTTGATTGAGGCAAAAGAAAAAAAATGAAAACATAAAAAATTTCAATATTTATAATTTATAAATACCATCATATGGATTTTTTTTATTATTTAGTTTACGTATATTTAGAGTTCATGAACAGTTTTTGCTTCGAAAATGACGCTGACGATTTTTTGTGTCATATTTGACTGATTTAAAAAAAAATACAATAAATTGCATTATTTTGAAAATAATACATTGAATGTTTGTTTTTTTAATTTAATAAAAATGTACAACGTTGAATTAGATCATTACTATAACTGTATATGTCTTTAAATCTAAAAACAAAAATCAATCATCACTACCAAACAAGACATAATCTTAATTTGTTACCATTTGGAAGATATGATGCCAATCAGAGATTTACTGCAATCATGGCACCAAAAATTTTCAACATACTACCATTGAAGATTCGAACCACAATTGGGTATAAAAGGTTTGTTGAGCAATGTAAAATTATTATTTTTGAGTAAAGAGAATACATTGCTCAACTTATGTAGTTTGTAAGTATACATATATTTATTTCTCTAATTTCAAGAAATTATTTTAATTTGTTAATTGTTATTTTATGTTCCTCTTTTTCATATTTTTTGCCATTACCATATTATATAGTTCAGAGTAATTTTAAATCAATTATATTATATTTTGTTATTTTACATTTCGTTCTTGCACATAAAAGTGTTAAGTCACTTAGGTGCATTTATTAGTACAAGCCTAAGTATTTGTTTAATATTATGTTGTCATATGTATATTGTATATAATTGAATTGAAAAAACTCACAAACGAAGTTTATTTATGAAAAGTAACAAGACTACATTGTCGAATTTGCCAACCTATTTCAATACTTTCGCAAAAAGTATATGAGTTAGAAAACATTATCATTTGGTTTGGATTTTATATAAAACACTCAAAGCATGCCAATTATTTGAAAATTGTATGTGTCATTCATAATATTTTAAATGATAGTATAAAAACAAATATCATTTGAAATAACACCTTCTGAAGTATACAGCAAAATAATTTTAAAAGGCTATTATAGAGAAAAAGGGTTTCATACAGGGTGATTCATAAGGAATGGGAAATATGTTTTTGTAGATTTTATAGTGTAAAAAGTATTTTTTTTTGCTTAATTACTGGGTGTCAAATATTAATACAGATTCAGGTAATCTATGTAGTACCCTCTATGTAATACATCAAAAATGATAACTTATTTATTTTTTTCACATCAAAAACACTATTTGTACCAACTTTTATATTTATGCATGAAAAAATAACTGAAATATACCATTACTGAATTATTTGTATAACTTGTATCTCAGTATTTGCAAAAAAATATTATTTGCTAGTATAGAATCTGCAGGTAAAATAGTATTACCATTCCTAATTGTATAATAGTGTCCTATAGCTTTTGTTAAGCATATTTTACAGACTTCTGAATAAAAGTCATCAGATCTTTCAAATAATAAAATTAAGATAAATTAAATGCAAAATATGGCAGACACGTAGACGCAAACATAAATTATCAACAAAATTTATTGATATTTAATAATAATATTCTATTTTCATTATCCAGTATTTCTTCAAAACAAACCATATAAATATTAGCATTCTTAAGCTAAAAGTCTGACAGGTCACAGGCATTTGTAGTTTTATCCTTGGACTTTAGAACACGACTATACAGAGTGGTCCTTATTTGTACACAGGAATATATAGAAATATTACAATTTGAGCCAACTTGTATTTATAAAAGAGAGATACTTTAAAGAAGAAACTTAAAAATACAGTGCAACCTCGATAATCCGAACCCACGCTAATCCGAACGCAAATCGTGATGCGAGATAGTCCGAACGCCGCCTCTGTAATCTGAACGCTGACAGGAAAAGACCTGCAGCGCGGCCCGCGTCGCCCATATGTAGTTTGATAATGCATTTAAATGTACAAAAATCAATATACATACATAGATCTAAAGGTCTAAAAATGTGTAAGAGGTGTTTTATTGTATATTCGTTAATCCGAACAATTCGATAATCCGAACAAGGTCTGACAATTAGGTGTTCCGATTAAAGAGGTTGCACTGTATTATTTTGTAATAACATTTTTGAAAATTTATAATAAAAATTTTGAAGTTGGTTGTTTTTGGGCATGAAAAATTATAATTTTATAGAGGTCACATTTCATACATGCCATTTTTATTATAAAATATGTCAATTTAACAAAAAAAAAAAAGTTTTACTGGTTATTAACCCCAAAACTTAACATTTTTCGATATAATCGCATTTTAGAAATCAGCACCATAATTATCATTTAATTCAATGCGTGAAATATTAAAGTAGTAAGCGATTTTGATATTTAGAGTTTGGTAATATTAGGTCTTTTCCTTTGCATCGAAAGTGTAGCGCTGAGCTACGTCACTTCTGAAAATATCGTTCTATCCATACAATTTGTATAAACGGAACGATATTTTCAGAAGTGGTGTAGCTCAGTGCTACACTTTCGATGCAAAGGAAAAGACCTATTAATTAAGAATTATTTTGACAGCTAAACATTGTTTCAATGCGCTAGTTCGGTGATGATGTAATTATGGTTCCACTGACAATTAAAGTGACAGTAGATTTTTTTGAGTGCGTTTTGTTCGTTTTGTTTACCTAAATTATATCGTTTTTTTCACTTTTATAAATATATTCCTAAAGTAAGTAGATAGCATGTATCAAATATACAATCGTTTAATTACCAATTACATACCTTTAAACTATTTTTTATGACCTGTAAACAATATTTTGAAATAAAATAAATACAGTAAAAACGTATGTCAAATTTATTAATGTTTTTGTTAAAAGTTTGGTTAGAATTAAATGTCAGTGGAACCAAAATGACATCACACTGAACTAGCGCATAATTTATAACTTCTGTCATAGTTTTTGTTAAATATTTTTCTTAATTATTTACGAAAAGCAGAAGATGCAGACATAATTGTATTAATATGGAAATGAAAGATACGATTTTACTATTTACTGTCAACAATATTTTAACGGCCATGCTGTGAAAAGGAACATTAATTTTGATAAAATAGGAGAAACCAAACTTGGTAGATTTTTGTTTAAAAAATAAAAATTACTCATGACAATTGTTTCGAAGTACAACTTCTTCAAATGTGACTAATTTAAATTTCAGTGTCTATTATACAGTATGTCTACTTAAGTTGGAACCATAGATTAGGGGAAAGAGAATTAACTCAATGGTAAATTTCTGAGGGGATGTGCTGCCATCTATCAAATTGGAGTGGTACTAAATTCAATATGGCCGCCAGGGGCGGGCTTTTTGCAATTTAACTTTTTGCATTAATTTAAAACTTGAAATAAAATGCAAATTTTTTATTACAGTAAATTAACGCCGTATCATATAATTAGTCTATTTAAACATGGAAATACTCTGAAAAATATGCATAAATAATTAAATATTTATAAAACAAAATTATCAAAAATGTTTTCTGTAACAAAATCAGCATGTAAGATCTTTATAAAAGTTTTGCGCCTTGGAGTGGCAAATAAGTTTGAAAAAAATTGAAGTTGAAGCATCATCCTTTTGGTGTCTTACTATCAAGGCGAATTTGAGTGTGGATAAAATTTGCCATAGGCTAAATAACTCGACTAGTTAGGTTGAAGAGCATTTTTTCATCTGATAATTATTTTATTTGTACAGGACTTTTAGTTTATCAAATTCTTTTTCATCATCTGGACACTGTGATAAATGAATTTAGCTTTCGAGCTTAAACACGTTTGGACCCTTGAATATTTTGGGGTGTTTTCTTGGTTGATGTCAATGGCATTGAACCAATTTTTGATATGGCTGAGTCTCACATATTTCATCGATTTACAGGGTATTTTGGAGGGCCAACATTTTCTTTACAATAACAATGATCATTTAAAAACTGAAAACAAAAATAAATTAAAATAAACAAATTATTTTAACAATGAATCAAAAACAAGTTTATAAATATAACTTACCATTGGTGCCAAACAGTGCAAGATGCATTTTTCTTAAGACACTTATTACAAATTATTTGGTTATCCTTAATATGATGACCGCATATATAATATGTGGTATAAATTGCATCACTACCAATATCTGGGAGTGCTTTATTGTTCGTTGCTAAAATCCATCTTCCCATCTTTTGACAACATGCTTAAAATTGAAAGGCAATGAAAAATAAATCTAGATGAATCAAAATTCAATAAACTTTCAACTGCAACAGCCATTTTAATTCACAGATCACTTTTTAAATTTGTCTAAGTTTGAAGTTTGACAACTGACATTTCAATACGAGCGCCATCCCGTTAATTGGAGTGGTACTAAATTAACATCCTCATGTTTTTCCATTTGAGTTATCAGCCCCTGGTTGGATCCATATGGAACTTTTTTATTATTGGTTTAAAAAAAATATATATATTTCTTGATAAAAAGTTTTGCATAGTCCAAAACTTAAAATGCAACCATCAGATATCAATTTTTTTTAAGCCGTATATGAGGTTTGTCAAAAAATATGAATTTTACTCAAGAGAAGTACCTTTATTTGATGTTTGATGGTTGTATTTTGGGTTTTAGACCATGCTCGACTTTTTATAAAGATTAACTTTTTTTCCAATATGAATAATAGAAAAGTTTTTCTTATGCCACCAACTTACATAGATAGTATTATTAATTTTAAGAAAAAAGTTATTCTTGATTGAATTTTAAGTTTTGGACCAGGCAGAACTTTTTATCAAGAATAATTTTTTTCACAAAACCAATAATAGTTTTCCATATGGTTCCAACTTAAGTATATACAAAGTAAACTAAGTAAAGATGTTACCTACAATGTTTACCTAGTGGTCATACATCCAAGTCCAACCATAGTTGACACT